TCTCTCTCTCTCTCTCTCTCTCTCTCTCTCTCTCTCTCTCTCCCCATGCATGAACCATGTCGGGAAGTTCTCTCTCTCGCTCTCCCTCGCGAACCAACATACCAACATAAGGGGGGGTCAGACGGGGGAGCTCGCCCTTGAATAGCCTACTTGAACAACGATCTCACCTTGTCTTTGCTCATCTCTAATCTCAGCCTCATCTTCAGAAGAGCCGCCAGGACTGGCCACTGCTGCTCCTGCTCCTGCTGCTGCGGCTGCGCCAGCGCTAACATTAGCTGGCCCATAATTGCCTTTATACTTACAGCCGCAAGCAGCCTGGTTGGCAACTAGCTAAGCTAAAGACTTCACGTGAGCATACAAACATCAGCAGCAGCTGTCTGGAGTGGACTACGTTAACTTTAATTGGACTTTGCATAACAAGCAAACTCGGTTCACCTTTGGGAAAGAAAGCAGTCAACAGCTGCCTCCCCTCATTCTGCCTTCTTTCTTTTTCTTTCCTATCTTTCTTCTTTTGATACCACGATTTATGCTTTTTGGGCAGCATGATGTCTAGCCCCCAGGTCATTCAATCTGGGCTCACTGACGTTACACTTGTCACCGGTCGCTGTCGGGCGGATTAAACCATTTTGCGCCTCCAAGAGGGGGCCCCCAGAATGTCCAATATGTGGGAGGTGTGTGACATAAGCTTCATTCTCTCAGTTGATGTTATCAGTATATTTGAAATAAATTATGACACCAATTAATTGGAGGGCCCAATTCATTCGAAATAAAAACATCACCAAAAAAAAAAAAATCAGGATTTTCATGGGCCCCTCTCCCTACTCGGGCCCTGGGTAGTCAGGTCCACTTTTCCCCCCACTACCACGCCCATGCCGGTAACGTTTTTGTTTCTACTGTTCTTCTATAAATGACACGCAGCAGAGACACTGTGAGGACGACAGTCTGTCCTCTGTTCACAAACAACATGTTCTGTGCTGGTAACGTTTTTGTTTCTACTGTTGTTCTATAAATGACACACAGCAGAGACACTGTGAGGACAACAGTCTGTCCTCTGTCCACAAACATCTTCACAACCAATTTAAACTGTTTCAGACGTTCATGTTCTTCAGAGAATAAATCCTTTTGACTTTTCATGTAGCGCCATCATCAGGTCGACATGTTACTCAGCTACTCGGCTTCATAATGACGTCAGTTTTGCTTTTGTACTTTAAATATGTTACGTTATGTGACGACCATCACTGAGACTCGGAGCAAAAAGTCTTTACAACAGAAACCGTTCACGCAGAACTCCGGCATCTGTTCTAAAATATTCACTGAAAAACCCAGTGACAAACATACCCAACAGCACTATAAGAGAAGATGAGAAAATACTGAAAAGACTCCATCCTGTCCTTAGTCGTTACTGTGACGTTCAGCCTGTCATTCATAACAACTGTGAGACACGTCAAAAACATTTGGTTCAAATAAAGTCAGGGTATCATACATCAGAAAATAATTTAACATAATGTAATGAAATGTAATGTGTTAAAAAAAAGTCATAATATCGTATTATATAAAAAAGGTATGTTAACATTGTTAGCATGCTAGCATTCTAATGTTAGCATTAAGCTCAAACGACCCTCTCACCTGCATTCCAGGTTATAAACCAGAAGATAATGAGCGTGGAGACGCCTGTGAGGGAGACAGCGGTGGACCGTTTGTGATGAAGGTGAGCGACACGATTTAATGACCCACAGAGACCAGTTTATTAGGGACAGAAGACATTTAGTGTCAGTCAGGGTTTAACCCTCTGAGACCCACAGAGACCAGTTTTATTAGGGACAGAAGACATTTAGTGTCAGTCAGGGTTTAACCTTCTGAGACCCACAGAGACCAGTTTATTAGGGACAGGGGACATTACAGACACAGCTCAGTTCTTGTCATAAAATGTGATAAACATCATGTTTTGGTTTTATATTTGTTAAACTGTTAATGTTGGGACTGTACATATGGGGTTATTACAACATTATAATCGAAGCATCACGTCTCATCAGATGTTGCATCAGTTTTTTGGGTTGATATCGTTTGTTAGTTTTGGTACCAAATCTAAATTTAAATGTATATAAATTTGACCATTTGTTAACTGATAAAAATGATTTTTGAAATGGTAAAAAAATGTTAAAACACCATGTTAACAAAAAATGACCCAATGAATGCCACAGAAAAATCCACGCTGTGATTTTAAAGTTTTTTTATTTGTAGATTATCTGTAAGATTTTAATTTTTCTGTGATCAGATGACAAACACATCTGGTGTTCAAGGTCTCACTCTGTGTCTGTAAAGTTTCATGTGATGATCACAGAGATCACTATAGATCATTTATACAGCGAGGTCTTGTCTCACTACAATGAAAATATCATCATCATCATCAAACTAACATCATCACACATGATTAAAACTGAACTCTGAATCCATCAAAGTCTCATCTTTAGTCAGACTTGATCCGTCCGTCCGTCCATCCGTCCATCTGTCTACCTACCTACCTACCTGTCTATCTGTCTGTCTGTCCTTCTGCTCAGAGTCAGTGTTTGGATGTCAGTGTTTGGACGTCAGTGTGCAGAGACGTCAGTGTGCAGAGACATGATGCACCCTGATGTCCAGAGTTGTTAGTGTTTGGATGTCAGTGTTTTGACGTCAGTTTTTTAGGACATCAGTGTTGGGATGTCACTGTTTGGATGTCGGTGTGCAGAGACATTAGTGTTTGGACATCAGTGTTCGGACGTGAGTTCTTTGGACGTCTGTGTTTTGACATCAGTGTTTGGAGTTCAGTGTTTGGTCGTCAGTTGTTTGGATGTCAGGGTTTGGACATTAATGTTTGGACGTTAGTGTTTGGATGTCAGTTGTTTGGACGTTAGTTGTTTGGACATCAGTTGTTTGGATGTCAGGGTTTGGACATTAATGTTTGGATGTCAGTTGTTTGGACCTCAGTGTGCAGAGACATTAGTGTTTGGACATCAGTGTAAAGACATTTCGACACATTAGGAGAAAATAAAACATTTATTCAGAGTAGTTTGTGTCAGAGTCACTGACGAGTCACTTAAAGCTATAGTTGGTAATGTTGGAGAGCTAGCAAGATTTGAAAGCGGCACCTCCTCTCAGCTCGACCCCCTCCTCCCCCTCCCGTCAGTGCTCCATCCAAAGCCACGGCCCCACGAGCTTGAACGCACATCCTGCACTGCAGTAGGACTTAGCACGGCAGAGGAGAGGCGAGTAAAATAACAAATCTCCCTGCAGCAAACAAATAATTAAAACTAGTAATCAATGATCTTCTAATAATTCATCTGTAAAATGTCTTTTCAGTGGCTGTTGTTGATGTATATATATATTTTATTTATATTATTATAAATGTAACAGTAACGTCCAGTGAGCGACCAGGCTGCAGAACCTCTGTGAATGAATCCATGTGTTTATATAGCCTATCTGTGTATGTGTGTGTGTAACAGTAGTGTTGATGTGTATAAATATTTATATTTATATATCTGTTTGCGATCTGACTGCTTTGTGTACAAACCTTTTGTGTTGTTGTGTATTTGTGTGTCCAGTACCCAGCGGAGAACCGCTGGTATCAGATGGGCATCGTGTCGTGGGGTGAAGGCTGCGACAGAGACGGGAAGTATGGCTTCTACACTCACCTGTTCAGGATGAGCAGGTGGATGAGGAAAGTTATCGAAAAGACGGGAGAGGACGACGACTAGACTCACTTCCTGCTGTCACTGGTCAAGAAGAGAGTGCTAATAAAGTTTGTTCAAATCCTGAAACGCTGGTCTGATAAAAGTTTGTGTGACCATCCTGTGACAGGTGCTTAGATGACATCACATCTGAATATGTGATGATAGTCTGATAGTCTCCATGGCAACACAAACATCCCATCGAATGTCTGACTATGATAAATAATCAATGATCAGTTGATCTTTACCGATGAAACACAATTCACATTTTTAGTTGTTAGAAAATCAGATACACAATGTTTAAAAACAACTAAACCTACACAGGGTTAGCTACACTTAGCATGCTACCACGCTAACATCATGAACATGGTGACCTAGCGTGTTTTCATCGCAGCTCGTCACGTATCCTCACTTTGTCCTTGCCGTCCACGTCTACAGACGACACACCTGGGCCATCCTGAGTCCGTGATGAACAAGTTAATGAACGCATAATGAAGTTAATGAATGAATTAATGAACAAGTTAATGAACGTGTTAATGAATAAGTTAATGAACAAGTTAATAAATGTACAATGAACAAGTTAATGAAATGAGTTAATGAACATGTTAACAAGTTAATGAATGAGTTAATTAATGTGTTAATGGATGTATGATGAACAAGGTAATGAATGAGTTTAAATGAATAAGTGAAATAATTTTATTTAATATAGTGAAATAATTTTATTTTACCGGGAAATAATTTTATTTAATATAGTGAAATAATTTTATTTAATACAGGGAAAATTTAACATAATAGTGATTATTTAATCATCTTCCTCTTCATCATCATCATCATCATATTTATTTTAATGTTTATATAAACCAGAGAATATTCAGGAAAGAAAAAAAAGTATTTAAATAATTTTTCTGCAAAGATATCATTCATTTATATATTTTTTTTATGAATTTCTTTTATTTGTTTGTGTGTTTGTTTTTATTCATTTAGAAAACAAAATGATAATTTGTAGATCTCGTTTGGACAAACATTGTGTTGATGTAATAGGAAAAGAAAACGGACCAATCAGTTTTTCTTCTGACGGTGAATCCATTAAAAAACTTCAATTCTGTTTTAGATGTTTCTGAAGTTCATCTAAACGTGGGCGTGAATTTGATGTGAACTGTTGTCTCAGCCAATCATGTTGGGACAGGATATGTACTAACATTGTCCTGATGTTCACAGATTCTTATTGGATAACCGACCTGTCAGGGCAAAGACACAAAAAACCGACAACGAACGAAGCAGACACAACAGACAGACTGAACGTAGCAGGGATCAGACACTCCGCAGCATTCGTTATCACCTCACCATGACATGAATCTGCAGCCGGAGGTCATCTGAACGACGTCACTATCATTACATTGACACATCTGGGTGACGTCACTGTAAATTAAATGTTTGATTAAGAGTTTCCACAGAAACACCCGACTGAACGATGTTGGCACACACTTTGTCCTACGACCTCAGGTAACCAGGCTAACTGAGCTAACCAGGCTAACTGAGCTAACTGAGCTAACCAGGCTATCTGAGCTAACTGGGCCGACGATCATACCACACCTGAATGTTGCACTGCCAAATCCCTCCAGGTAAAACCTGCACTACAGAATCTAAATGCCATCCATAACAGGAGACATCAATAGACCATAGTAACAATAGCAGCAATAATAATAATAATAATAATAACAATAATAATAATAATGATAATAGTAATAATAATGAACCTGTGTGTGTGGCAGATCTGAACTCTACAAACACAACAAACTCTGGATGAAGATTAAATCAGTTTCAGAATAAATTAACATTTGAGACATTTAATTTTTGTTCAAGCTGAGTGAAATAAGTTTGTACAATTTGTTTCTTACTGTCATTTCACGTCATAATTAAATTTAGTTATGATGCCATATATTTAACTCTGTGTGCCTGGAAACCTTCGATAAACCTAACTGTCATGTGACGCAGCGCTCCAGATGTTGTGTTTTTATCGTTGTTTTCATTGAGATAAACTGAGATAAAAGTGGGAACGTTAATTATCTGATGATTTGTATCAACTGAACTGAAAATGATTCTGTCAGTAAATTCACATCTGTAAAAAAAAAAAAAACATTTTAGTTCTCATTTGTTGACGATCAGCTAACAACAAAGTTATTAAAATTCTAGGTGAAAGTAAAATCTTCCAGTCGTTCTGTTTTAATCACACGTCATAAAAACATGCATCCACATCACGTTCTTTGTTCTTTTTTTTTAATCTTATGAGCAGCAGCATCTTTTTGAGTCATTCTTCACTAGAAGAGAAAACGTGTCATGTTGAGCTTCTTTTTAAATCATCGACCTGCAGTGAGCTCAAGGGGGTGGGGCTTCTGTCAGTCATTTCTTTAATGTGGCCAATCAGAGGCTCAGTCAAAAAAATCAGTTTAGAATTCAGCCAATCACATCACAGAAGTGGAAGTAGTTAACATTTCAACCAGTGAACACCTGCGCATCAACTCCCTGATCATAACGGAAATAAGTTATTTTAAAGGGTTTTTTATTTCCATGTCTAAATGTCCAAGAGGGGGCGAGTCTGTCTGTCTTGACAACGAGGACACCAAACCCCCGGGGAAAAAAGACAAACTCCTCGCCTCCACATCCAGGGGTGTGTGGACACTGGAGGGACGCCTATAGACCCCGCCCACTGACATCCCATCCTCCGTCTGGTTCTTCTAACGGAGGAGCAGATCACAGCCTGGGTCAGCGGGGTCTGATGGAGACAGCGTCAGCTAACAAGCTTCGCGGGTGGGAAGGTTTTCTAATTACACTTTAAACCGACGACTGAGAGCACAAGGCAAACTTTATTTTTACCAGAATAATCTCAAAAGATATATTTATGAATCTCCATCCGTACAACATCAACTGTCTTCAGCTCTGGAGGTTGATGCCTCTCAAACACTCAGAGTGCCTCCAATTAATAAATTCTCTGAACTTTTCGCTGGGGTCAATCCTGACACAGGAAAGTTCATCTGTGGCCACAGATCATCCAGTGGATTCTGGGTGTTGCTGCTGAGCTTTTATCTCCGCTCATATTGTTAGCTCATTGTTACCTGTGTCATCAACCCTCTGTTAACGTTGCATCACATTAGCTACCTAACTTTGTTAATGTCAATCAATTAGTCAATCAATATTATTTATAAAGCCCAATATCATGAATCACAATTTGCCTCTCAGGGCTTTACAGCATACGACATCCCTCTGTCCTTATGACCCTCGCAGCTGATCAGGAAAAACTCCCCAAAAAACCCTTTAACGGGGGAAAAATGTCAAGATATCTGGCACCACAGTAGCCAGAACTATAACTATAATATTAGTACTTTCATTAATGTTGTTGTAAGCTACTGTCATTACCTGCATCTCTCTCTGTCTCTGTCTCTGTCTCTGTCTCTGTCTCTCTCTCTCTCTCTCTCTCTCTCTGTGTCTCATTGTGTCATACAGATTACTGTTGATTTATTATGTTGATCTGTTCTGTACGACATCTATTGCACGTCTGTCCGTCCTGGAAGAGGGATCCCTCCTCAGTTGCTCTTCCTGAGGTTTCTACCATTTTTTTTTCCCCGTTAAAGGGTTTTTTGGGGAGTTTTTCCTGATCAGCTGTGAGGGTCATAAGGCCAGAGGGATGTCGTATGCTGTAAAGCCCTGTGAGGGAAATTGTGATTTGTGATATTGGGCTTTATGAATAAAATTGATTGATTGATTGATTGATTGTCATAGAAACCAAACCCAGGTGTAGCACGTCATTAAATGATGAAGACAATATGAACTCTGATCCAACAGATGGAAATGACCAGGTGGGGAAATCTGCGTTATGGTGGTTACAGATTCTCCAGAGACCATCACACCACCATCAGACCACCGTCTCTCCGTCCAGTCTTAGACTTGAACAGACCACGGGGTGAAGGAGCCTCGTTCTGCAGAAGGAACCTGAAACAGAAAAACAGTCGCTGTGTTCAAATGTTCAGGAAGTGTTTCAGTTTTTACATCATGTTTACAGGTTTAGCCTTTGTCCAGCTTCCTGTCAGAAGTTGGTGGACGACAGCTGTTTCATGGATAATAATAATAATAATAATAATAATAATAAAATTTTAATAATAATGATGATGGTCTCAGTCTGGTGCTGAGGAACTTTACTGGTCTAATTTATTTCTGATTTTTTTTTAGGATACCTGTTAAATGTTACCGCAGTAACAGCTGTTTATTTGATACTACTGATGTACAGTGGAGCACAGTTCATGCCTCATCTGTGTCAGATTCATATCCCTGACTCCTGATAAATCTGCACCAGATTCTGAACCCCAGTTTGTGTCAGGTTCATGTTCGAGTCATGTCTGATTCTTTTCTCAGAGTTGCTGCTGCTACAGGAGCAACCACGACCCAAACTCTGCAACAAGATATTTAATGTATCGCTGATACAGTTTCAAATAAAACCCTTGTTCTGTTTTTCAGGGCTAAATGTAACTGAGGTCAACTCATCCAACCTGCTGACTTTTTTTCATGTCTTTAAAAATGTCATAAAGACTTTTAAACAAGCTTTCATACCAGTTTGGTGAATCTGTCACTGCAGGCGTTGCGGATCCTCTCGGCGGAGGCGGGGCTGTCTAGCCTGAAGGGACCACTGATGCCCGACTCCACTCGGGCAGCGGTGATGGCATCTTTGATGGCATAGAAAACCGATGCCGCCAGGAAAAGAGGAGGCTCACCGACAGCCTGGAGAGAATAATGTAACTGCAAAATAACAGTTCTCTGAAGCTGTGATGTTTAATGTCCTTGGCAGTGTGAATGGCGTTACCTTGGAGGCGAAAATGGCCTTGTCGTTTGGTGCGTCGCGGAGCAGCGAGACAATTAGCTCGGTGGGGATGTCACCAAAGGCTGGGATCTTATAAGAACCAGGTCCTCGAGTGAGGAGGACACCCTGAGGAGAGTAATGAAGCTCCTCCAGCGTGAAGAGACCCAGACCCTGCATGAACGCCCCCTCCACCTGAGGACACACAGTAAAAACACCTGAAGGGGGCGCCACAGGGAACACTCTGAATGACGACCTTTAACTCCACATGTGACTGAATAAACTTTCCAAAGGTTCACTGAGTGACTGATTGACTCACCTGTCCGATGTCTATGGCCGGGTTGAGGCTGTGACCAACGTCCATTACGATGGTAGTGCTCAGGTTCTTCAACAAACATTCACAGGGTCATAAATAATACATAACATAAATATAATACATTTATATCTTTTAACATTTAGTCAAAATGTTGCAATTGAAATTAACCAGGTGACGTGTCGTTGATGAAAATAATAAATCTGATGATGCTTTCTCAGACAGTTTTCACAATCGTTTCACAGTTCTAAACATCAGCTTGTCGTTTTCCAACCGAAGGTCAAATCAACTCAGAATTTCAAAGCTTCAGTTCAGCTTCATCCAGCAATAAATTTCTAAACTTAAAAGATCTGCACTTTAATTTTCTAAACATGTACTTCTCAACATTTCGATGAATCTGGACTACAAACATCGAGTTGTGTTAGCTGCTAGCAGTTCTCATGTCTGCTGTACAGATGGAAATCACTCGATCACTTCTCAAAGTGCACAAAGCCGTGAAAATGAATTGTTTTATATAAATTTAAAGTAGTTTTATAGATGTTAATGGACATTGGTGTCTTTGTGTTCAGAATTGACTGAGTCATGACTCTGGGTATAATTTTTTATCTCAAACTGGTTAAAACAGTTTATTAAAGACATCTAAAGGTCTTTAAAGACAAAGTTTATAATAAATACACCACAGTATCTTTAAAGTGTAGAGTGAATAACAAGGTACCTGACACTGATTCTTGTGGGACACCTTCATCAACAATTTGTATTTGAAACACTTTGAACGCTATGTGAACATCGAATTCACCATTTCCTGTTTCTCTGTCCCTCTAGGTGAACTTATCCATCATGAAGAACCCACCTTCTGAGCTCCGGTCAGACAGTCGATCTCCACCTCTGAACAGGCGACGCCGTAGCTGAAGTAGCTGAAAGCTCGGCCCGAGTTTGAGTCAAAATCATAACCCAAATCTGGAGTCCTGATGAGCAACAGGAAACAGTGAAATCCTGTCCTGGACTTTATTCATCAAAAGATTCACGAACCAACGATGACTGAACTCACTTGTAGAAACCGTTTGCACTGAGGTTGACTCTGTCAAAATACGCCGCTCTCACCTTAAACACAGAAACACACTGAGTCAGACCATCACAGTGATGAGAACGGGACGCTAACGTCTGATGAACGATAACACGGGCAACATGCTGACATACGCTTCTTTGTGATTTCTTTTACTGTAAAAACAAAGTCAAGTACTCCTGCACACCCAGTCTTCCCATGATCCTTTGGGGTTCTTGGTCTTGTAAGGTTCCAAACGTGTCATGAGGACTTCACAGGCGTTTTTAACGGCAGCTCCGTTGAGGTCTGAGGAGGCGGAGGCGGCAGTGGGGCTGGTGTTGGGGATGGTACTGGTGCTGGTCTCTGAGATGTGGATCTTTGAACAGGGGATACCCAGAACCCTGCTGGCGACCTGGACTCAAACACACACACAGTTTGTTGATGCTGCGTCGGTACAATGCCGTGGTCCAGCAAGGTTCTGTATCAGACCCTTCAATTAAATCACATGACTGTAGTTTGGACTCAAACAAACAAATAAACTCCTGGCAGATTTTTTTTTTAAAGGCTGCAGGAATTAAACAAATCCTTGGTCTCAGGTCGTTTTTAAAAATTTGCATCAATGATGTGATTGTAGCTTTTGGATGATGCAGCCAACCCTCCTGTGTAAAGTGTCTGTAGCTGCAGTGTCTCTAATGGCCACTAGATGGTGGTATTTACACTGAAATGAACTGAAACCGACAGTCATATCGTTTGTAGAAAAATCAGCCAAATAAATGTTTTCATTATGTGGAAAAAGGTCAAATTAATGAGCTACAAAAAAGACTTTAAGACTAAAGCTGAGATACCTGGACCATCTTCGTGTGGAGTCCTTGTCCCATCTCCGTCCCACCATGAGTCAACAACACCGAGCCGTCGGTGTAGATATGAACCAGAGCTCCAGCCTGCAGAAATACATGAACTAATGGTAATTCATAACATCACAAAAACACTGAAGCCATTTTGGAGCTACGCACACCTCTGGAGCTACGCACAACTTGGAGAGAGTCTGAGAGTCCTGAACAGCCAGCCGTCCTGGTAGGGGATCCTGCAAAGACTTGGCCTACCTGAAGGTTTCTTCCTTTTTTCCTGAATAAGGGTTTTTTAGGGAGTTGTTCCTGACATGCTTGGCAGGTCAAAGGCTGAAGACTCAAAGAACAACGAGATATAGCATAGCAGCACAGCAGCTTGCTCTCCACGCCTGACACGTTGCTGATCCAAGAAGCTATTCTCCCTCCAGTGGCACCTATACAACCCTGCCTCCTTATCACAACCCTGCTGGCTCTAACGTTACTGGCTGTTGTCCTATTTCTGCATTTACCCACGCCTTAACTACCGGCACCACCTAGCCGTTAGCTTAGCTCAAGCTAGCCAACGTGCTACATCCAAAACTTAGCTCAAGCTAGCCAACGTGCTACATCCATGGTCTGTGACAACATAATGCTCACAAAAGCAAATAAACAGATTACAGACCTTAAGGAAGACATCCGCCGACTCTCTCAGGAACTGCAAGATAAACAGGCCATGCTGACCTCCTGCCTGGACCTGGCTCACGAACAGTCCTTGCACATTGTCTCCCTCAAAGCAGCCCTCCAGGACACCGTCCCATGCGATACCTCCACCGGTCCGCGGCCTTCCTCCCCCTCCACACCCAGCCTCCAGACATCCTGGGCTGAAGTTGTGATCCGCGACAGAAAGAGACTCCAGAATGCGACTGCCTCTCCTCCTTGCCTGAGCCTCTCCAATCGCTTCAAGGCGCTAGCAGACAACCCAGATCTTCGCCCGATTAGCATAGCTCAAGCTAGCCAACGTGCTAGCCCCGCCGCTAGCTCTCTGCACACGGCTGCTGGTGGTTGTGCAACGCCTGGCTCTGGAAAAGCCGCTGGCCCCTCTCCACCTGCGGCTACTGGTGCTTCACCCTCGGGCTCAGGCGGCTCCACATCTGGGGTAACGATAGCTAGTCCTACACCTGCGGCTGATGGCGTCCCCGCGGCTTCCCGCTCCGACAGCCCTACGGTCCCTGATGCCGAGGCGGTTGCAGGGGCGCTATCTCCCCGCTCCAGCTGCCCTGCCTCTGGGATCATCGCGGCTGGCTCCACACTGGCAGCTGGCAGTGTACCCGCAGCTCGCCGCCCCGGCGGCCCGGCACCAATGGGTGACATGGAGCCCTCCTCCCCGCCAGCACCCGCCAGTACCCAGAGTGGCTCTGCTGCAGTCCCAGATCACCAGGTCTCCTCCCGGACAACTACCTCTGCTTCACGTCGCAAATTCCTGAAGGAAGCCGTGCTCAGACGCTCTGGAGGCCTCCTCCACCCCACGCTCCCGGCAAACTCTCCTCCTCCTAGGGCTGTAACGGCCGATCCACCGCAACACCTGTCCGGCCGTGCCTGGTCACCGATCCCGCAGCCAGCGGACGACCCGGATGCTGGCTCGCCACCATCCAACCCAGCAAAAACCCTTCCTCACCCGCTCTTCCCTCCAACCACCCTGATCATCGGAGACTCCATCACAAGGAATATCCGCTTCTTCAATGCCACCACCTGTTGTTTCCCCGGAGCCACAGTCCCGGTAATCCTGGAAAAACTCCCTGGGCTGCTGCAGTCACTCCCTTCCTCCATTACCCACATCGTGGTGCACGTAGGGACCAACAACCTGGCTCGGGGCGTCTCTGAGCTGACCAAAAGTGCTTTCACCTCCCTCCTGGACTTCCTACGCACTTGTGGAAAGTCCGTTTTTATCTCCGGTCCCATTCCCACACTTGGTCGCGGGGACGCTCGCTTCTCCAGGCTGCTCCTGCTGAATACCTGGCTCAAGCCTGCCTGCTACAATCGAGGCTTCAACTTAAAAAACAATTTTAATCTTTTCTAGAACCGTCCCTCTTTCTTCAAACACGATGGCATTCACCCTACCTCCCTGGGAAGCCGCACACTGGCAGCCAATATTCAGCATACTGTACATCACGCACCATGTGCATATCACACGCCCCCTCCACCGACACACTTCCTCACCCCGTTCCAACTGCAGCACAGAGCACAGCCCCACTCACCAGCGCCCCTGTCTGACCATTTCAAACATTAACCCTCCCATCTGAGACATTCCACATACAGTCCATCATAAAGCACAAACCACCCCGCCCTTACTGCACTAAGACTGTGAATTACAAAAACTTATCCCCCATCTTCTGCACTCCTGCCACCCCCTGTACTACTCAAACCCTACAACACCTGAAACTGGCTCTACTCAACACCCGCTCACTGACCAACAAAAGTGCCATCCTACATGAATTCATCACTGACAATAAACTGGACTTCCTCTGCCTCACCAAAACCTGGCACAAACCCCTGGATTACTTCTCCCTAAACCAAACCACACCCACTGACTACATCTACACCGACAAACCCCGCCCAGACGGACGGGGTGGTGGCGTTGCTGCCATCTACAAGAAACGCTTTAAAATATCCACAATCTCCATACCTCCTGCTCAGTCCTTCTAACAAGTCGCCCTCAAACTGTCTGGTCCCACTTCCCTGGTCATCGCCATCATCTACCGCCCTCCCAAACCAAACAACTCCTTCCTCTCAGACCTCACCAAATTCCTCACCCAGCTATCTGCTGTATCTCCCTCAATTCTCCTGCTGGGGGACTTCAATATCCACATCGATGATCCAAACCGCAAAAGTGCAGTAGACCACCTGGACCTGCTCCACTGCCTTCACTTCACCCAGCATGTCAACTTCCCCACCCACTGTCGCGGCCACATCCTGGACCTAGTCTGCTCCGCCGGTCTCACCCTCCACCAACTCTCCAGTACCAACCTCCACATCTCGGATCACCTGGCCATCACTGTGGACTTCAAGACCCCACTCCCTCCCCCAAAACTCAAACGCATTATATCCTTCAGAAATATCAAGTCCATCTCCCCCTCTGCTTTCTCTGACTCACTGGCAAATACTCTGTCCACATTCATCACCCCGCTGACCCCAAACCCCTCTGACCTGGTCACCCTCTACAACAACACACTGTCCCTCTACCTCGACAAACTGGCTCCCTTAAAGACCCAAACTGTCTCATTTACTCACTCATCTCCCTGGTACACTCCTGAACTCCGTCACATGAAAACCCGTAAGCGCCAGCTTGAAAGACTTTACAAGAAAACCAGTCTCACAGTCCATCTCCATGCCTATACAGACCACCTTTCAAACTACAAAGACGCCCTCACTGCCACCAGGTCCAACTACTACTAACAACTCATTCACTCTGGCTCCAATAACGCCAAGACTCTCTTTTCCACCATCAATAAACTCTTCAAACCCTGCGACAACACCCTCTCCTCCATCACAACTGACAAATGCAACTCCTTCCTGGCATTTTTTCAATCAAAGATCGAAACCATCTACACTCAACTCAGCAACCTACAGTGGCTCCCTGTCCCGTACAGAATCAATTTCAAGATCCTCCTCCTCACCCACAAAGCCCTCCACAGCCAGGCCCCCTCCTACCTCACAGACATGCTCCACCACCACACTCCCTCCCGCAACCTTCGATCATCTGACAAAAACCTCCTCTCTCCTCCACACGGGACCAAGCACTGAACCTGGGGCGACAGAGCCTTCTCCATAGCCGCCCCCTCCCTCTGGAACACCCTCCCTATACACATCCGTGACTGTCCAAATCCATCCACCTTCAAATCACTCCTCAAAACCCACCTTTTCAAATCTGCTTTTAACCTTTAACATTAGCTTTTCGTTCTCGGTTCCTCATGTGCCCTCCTTTTCTTTGATTTGCACTATGCTTTTGCACCTTGTTGTTTTATATTGTCCTTGTTTTCTGTTTCTCTCTTTGCACTTACATGTTTGTACTTCTTTTCTTTGGTTTTAAATGTAAAGCGTCTTTGAGAGCTGTAAAAGCGCTGTATAAATAAAATGTATTATTTATTATTACAAAAACATAACGTATCAAATAACAATTAGGATTTTAACAGTTTGTGAATCAGTGTTTTTAGTTCAGACCTGGTTGAGGAAGACGGCAGTGAAGCTTATGCCAAACTTGGTGGGGATTATGGCGAGGCCTCGTTTGGTCCACCGGTTCTGTCTGACAGAAGAAGAGTTCATTTCAACCAGCAGAGCTTCAGTTGTTTTAACTGGTTATCACATCTACTTAATAAACAAATGCATACTTCTGATGTCGATAGCCCCTTCCTAATTGCACTATTATGTTAGCCTGAGTGTCAGACTGAAGCTCCCAGAACCTTCAGTCTGACATCGCCTCCATTGAAGGCAATTTACAAGGGGGAGGGAATTTGATTTTTGCCTAACCAATCAGTAGAGATCAACGACTCACCCAGAATCTGACGACATTAGTATCCATGCCTCAGGGGTGCCAAAAACAAGCGAGCATTGCCCATTTAAAATGTATCAGTAGTCATGCAAGCCCAGCTGCATCACCGTTAAATCCAGTTTAGCAGCTTCCTTAATTTGGTCCTCCATTAACGTGAGTAGTGGCGAAATACCTCGATAGCATCGTTAATGTGGTCTGTAGGATCTGCAGCAGTCGCCATCAGCGTGACACTGATTGGCTAATCGCTAGATCCGCCCCCATCCCCGGCGTTCATTGGTCTGTCCATCGTTTGGACGAGATAAATCGCAAATTCATTGCAGTATGCCAGACCAGAGATGCAAGCCTACTCAGTTGAGTGGGCGGGGTCTATGGTCTGGAACCAGGCTACTATTATGTTATTCAAATCTGCGCTGTGCATACTACATGGTCGTCTACTGTGTGTCTTGTTTGTATATGATGGTTGTATCTGCTGTGCAGCAATGTTGCACTATGTGCCCAAAACAAATTTCCCGCTTGGGACAATAAAGTTTATCTTATATTATCTTATCTTTCCACCTCTTAACACTCGACAGAAATTTCTTATGGACATTTTATATTTATTGAACAACCGTTGACACCCATCATAAAACTGGACCAGGTCTCAGAAACTTCCACCTGTCACAGAACTGAACAGAAAGTCCCACTGTTTCAGGACCTTTGAATGGACGGGGTTTACCTGTTCTGAGGACGCGTCGTGCCTGAGTCTCTGAAAATTCAGATTACCTGTTGTAGAGGTCGATTGCGGCTCGGCGCTGCTCATATTCAGAACGTGACAGGCACTCATCCCAGCAGCGACCCAGGGTGAACTGATCCAGGATCTGGTTGTACGGTGTTGACTCTCCTTCCACGTACAAGTTCAACCTGCGCACCTGCAGGTAGACGGAGTCACTGATTGGATGCTGCTCAGCAGCCAAAATTCAGCTGTTCATCATGTTAGACTTTATATATCCGCCTACGTACCTCCTCCGCCGGCTTCCCCAGACTCTGAGCCACGTCTGTCATCCAGCTTTCAGCAACCATCATGCCTTGTGGCCCTCCGAAGCCCCTGAATGCCGTGTTGGACGGCAGGTTGGTGCGGCACAGGAAGCCGAGGCCACGCACGTTTGCCACATTGTACGAGTTTTCCATGTGGAACAGGGCGCGCTCCATGACCTTGGATGAAAGCACACAGATGATGACATTAACACGTCATTAGCAAAACGAGATCCGTTAATAGTAATGATACTCACCGCCAGAGAGAGGTCCATCGAGTTTCCTGCATTACTGTAGTACGATACGTCCAGAGCCATGACCTTACCACTATTCAGGAAACCCACCTGGAGCAAGACAATAAGAAGAAGAAGAAGAAGAAGAGGAGGGGAAGAAGGAGAAAAAATGATGACCAACTTGGAAGTGAGAGATCAATTTGGGATGCTGGGGTGAAGCTACCACAACCCAGACTGATGGACCCTAACCCTGACTCAAATCTGTGAGTGGCCACAAACAAAACATTTAAAGTTGAAACAACTTTATTTATCCGTATATTAAAGGACAGTGACACACAGCAGCTTTGTACCTAGGCCAATAAAAAACTGCTGTAACATTGCCACATGTACGACAGGTAAAGTTCTCTCTGCTGCTGGTGCTCCACCTACCTTGTATTTTCCGTAGAATGGGTGTCTTCCTCCGGTGACCAACATGTCCTCATCTCTGTCCAACATACACCTCACAGGTCTCTTCAGCCTGTCACAGTAAAACAGGAAATAATTTGTTATTTCAAAATAAGAGAATCAAACTAAACATCAGTACCAGACGTACTTGTTTGCTGCCACGGCGACCACAGTGGACAGGACGGTGGTTCGGCTCTCCTTCCCCCCGAAGCCTCCACCCATCCTCTTCACCCGGACCACCACCCTGTTAGACGGAACGCCCAACGCCTTCGCCACCAGACTCTGAAACAGACAGAGATACAGCCCGTCGCTCAACGGCACATTTTACACTCAATGTCCAAACCCAAACCCCCCTACACTGACTGAATTACATTTACAGTCATTTATGTCTTTAAGACGAATGGCTACCTGTGTTTGAGAGTAATGATACTTCTGTTTTAGAGTATAGTTACCTGTGTTTGGGAATACTGATACTTCTGTTTTAGAATATAGTTACCTGTGTTTCGGAGTACTGATACTTTTGTTTAAAAGTGTACTGACCTGTGTTTGGGAGTATAGTTACCTGTGTTTGGGAGTACTGATTTTCTGTTTTAGAGTATAGTTACCTGTCTTTGGGGTATTGATTCTTTTGTTTTGGAGTATAGTTGCCTGTGTTTTGGATTATATTTACCTCTGTTTGGGAGTACTGATACTTTTCTTTTAGAGTATAATTACCTGTGTTTTAGAGTATAGTTACTTGTGTTACAGAGTATAATTACCTGTGTTTTGGAGTAAAGTCACTTGTGTTTTGAAGTATAAGTACCTATGTTTTGGAGTATTGTTACCTGTGTTTTGGAGTATAGTTACCTGTGTTTTAGAGTATAGTTACCTGTGATTTGGAGGACAGTTACCTGTGTTTTGAAATATTGTTACCTGTGTTTTGAAGTACAGTTGCCTGTGTTTTGGAGTATAGTTACCTGTGTTGTGGAGTACAGTTACCTGTGTTTTGAAATATTGTTCCTTGTGTTTTAGAGTATAGTTACCTGTGATTTGGAGGACAGTTACCTGTGTTTTGAAATATTGTTACCTGTGATTGGGAGGACAGTTACCTGTGTTTTGGAGTACAGTTACCTGTGTTTTGAAATATTGTTACCTGTGATTTGGAGGACAGTTACCTGTGTTTTGGAGTACAGTTACCTGTGTTTTGAAATATTGTCACCTGTGATTTGGAGAACAGTTACCTGTGTTTTGGAGTACAGTTACCTGTGTTTTGGAGTATAGTTACCTGTGTTTTGAAATATTGTTACCTATGCTTTGGAGGACAGTTACCTGTGTTTTGGAGTACAGTTACCTGTGTTTTGGAGTATAGTTACCTGTGTTTTGAAATATTGTTACCTATGCTTTGGAGGACAGTTACCTGTGTTTTGGAGTA